GCCTTCAATTAGCCGTAAATGCCTGGCTTGACCAGCGTTTGCTAGCAAGATTGACAGACTGCTAGGTGTCTGGCAGTCTTGTCTAAGCACTTCAGCATTTTTTCTATCACTGGCTGCTTAGTTTGTTACTGAAGAAATCTGAAGTTTTTGCTGCCTTGCCCATTGGTGTAGTCCCGCGTTAACCCTTCTCTGAGGCCTTTCATTATGTCCACAGCTCACCACAGGGATTGTCAGCATGTAGTATAGAGGTCCGTTACCAAGAAGAGAAGGATTGGATCTATACCCCGCCCTTCACTACCCAAAGGAGTCTCAGAGTGGCTTACAAACTCCTTCCCCTCCCCACAACAGACACCCTGTGAGGTAGGCGGGGCTGAAAGAGTTCTGATAGAAACTGCTCTTTTTCAAGGACAGCTCTGAGAGAACTGTGTCTTGCCCAAGGTCACATCAGCAGGTGCAAGTAGAGGAGTGGGGGAATCAAACCCGGTTCTCCCAGATTAGAGTCTGTGCACTTAACCACTACACTAAACTGGCTCTCAAGGGTGCTTCTCTGCAAGAGACCTTTCAAAGAAGAGAAGAAGAGATTGGATCTATACCCCGCCCTTCACTACCCAAAGGAGTCTCAGAGTGGCTTACAAACTCCTTCCCCTCCCCACAACAGACACCCTGTGAGGTAAGCAAGGCTGAAAGAGTTCTGATAGAAACTGCTCTTTTTCAAGGACAGCTCTGAGAGAACTATGTCTTGCCCAAGGTCACATCAGCAGGTGCAAGTGGAGGAGTGGGGGAATCAAACCCGGTTCTCCCAGAGTAGAGTCTGCGCACTTAACCACTACACTAAACTGGCTCTCAAGGGTGCTTCTCTGCAAGAGACCTTTTTTAAAAATTCTCTGCAAGAGACCTAGTTGTGGTCATGTCAGGCCCGAGGCCTGGCATTATTACACCTTTTTGTAGCCAATGGGGTACATCTTTCATTCATAAAATTCTCACAGCCAGCGACCCACTTTCACGTCTGAGCGGTGCCTTCACGGCAATTGTGTACCATTCACTGTTCCCACTTTCCTGAACGGGCTTCCAGATCTGGCTCAGAATGCCCTGTCCGTTCTGCTTCTCAGACGGTGTCATTTGGAACGGGTTTGAAACAGACTTACTCAGAATTGACGTGTATTACAGATGGCGTGTTAGCGTGTTGCAGATTGGAGCATTGCAGACCGACATCTTACGTTTTCAGAGATGTTGGTTTCCCACGCAAACTGGAATTTACCGTGTGTTTTATTAAAGTATCGTTGAAGACAGCCCTGGACTTTGAAAGGGCGGGTATAAATCTCTTCAATGCGTAAATGGAAGTATTCCGGGCAGCTAGATTCAAGTCAGTAGGACCTTCGAGATTTTCGGAGTATGAGCATTCATCATGAGTCTAAGTTCCTTTAATCAGATTCTGTGCAGCATTTCTTATAGTCTAAAACGCGAGGTAAATAATCACATTGCTTTTGAGTAAGTGAGCCCGAGGCGTCACCATGACAGGCTGTCTCTTTTGTGTCTCGTATATGCCAGTTTAGGGGCCGCGGTAGCTCAAATGGTTAAGACGCTGAACTGCAGGCTGTGGAAGGTCAGGAGTTCAGCAGTTCGAGACCCGGGTGCCGCATGACGGAGTGAGCTCCCATCTCTAGTTCCAGCTCCTGCCAACCCAGCAGTTCGAAAGCAAGAAATTGCAAGTAGATAAATAGGTACCACTTTGGTGGGAAGGGAACAGCGTTCGGTGCGCCTTGATGTTTAATCATGCCGGCCACATGACCATGGAAACGTCTTCGGACAGCGCTGGCTCTTCGGCTGTGAAACGGAGATGAGCACCGCCCCCCCCCCGAGTCGGATTCGACTGGCTTTCGAGCAAGGGAAACCTTTATCTTTATATTCCAGTTTAATCTGTGCTGAGGATTTTCCCCTCAAAGCCTAGGCATTCTCTTTGGTCGACCTGTTGATATAACGCAGCTCCATGTCAAGTGTTTGGTACAGCTTTGGAGGGAGATGACCGAAAGAGACTTAGAAGAGGCGAGCACAATCTGCAAGTAACTCTTCTACCAGGTTGTCCCAGGTGCATTGTCAGATGAATGAAGCCGGTCTGTTCTGAACTCTGTTCTGGAGCTACCGGCTGTAAAGCTGTGCAGGATGTGTAAGTGGCACGATTTGGTGATTTTATTCCCCCTTCCCCGGTGTCCGAATTCGCGTTCAAAAGTCACGTGCTTGTCTGGTCGCGGTTACGTGTGTTTAGCTGCTGCCTTTTGCTAGGATTTCCAGATGCTCGTAATTGGGGTCACAGACTCCTGTGTGACTTTTCCCTCCAGGCATTACGGCACGTGGCCCCTCTCTCCACAGCAGATTCTTTTAATAGGGAAGCTGTCCTGTGCGAACCGAGCCATAGAGCCCTCAGGATTGTGAGGTTCCGAAGCCACCTGTGTTAAGCTCCACAGGAATGCAACCACTTTAGCTATTCGTAAAGCATGAAAAACTCACGTGATAAAGAGAGCCGAAAGTCCTTGGGTGGCTGGCTTTTCTTGTTGGTTCTGCTCCTGGGAGGGTCGCCACCGGGGCTGCAAATATCTGCTGCCCTGGTTTCATGCGGCAAGTCTGTACTGCCTTCCGGCAACCGATTGTAAGCAGCTTTACAAACACTGGGTATTTTTTGTTTTGGTGTTTGTACTTTTCCTTCCCTGTGGTTTGTGTTTTGAGTACTCCAATGACGAACGTTGGGATGTGTGGGCGAGCGATCTAGTAAAACTACATGTGGGCCAGTATATTTTTTTCCCTGGACACGTTTGCACAGTTTCTTGATGCACCGGGAGGCCGCTGCACCCAGGACGGCTTTGGGGAGGCCCCCCACTATCCTGGGGACAGCTCAGCCATGTTAATTTGGCATCCCGAACCTCCACTTTCTCTCGGTTAAATAGCTGTTGGCTTTCTCGTCTAGTGGAACGGAGTAGTGGAAGGATGTTGAAGGGCCACTGCTCTTTTTTGATAGCCGTCCGCTGACTTCTGGTGTTTTTTTTCCATTAGGGGGAAGCTGGGCAGATATCCTCCTTGGCCAGGAAAGGTAAGTTTCCTTAAGTGCATACCTCTAAAAGTTTGTTGTGTACACCTTAGTAGTTTGGTTGGGGTGAATATTTCTGTTAATGGCTAATCTAGCGGTGCTCACTCTATGGACTGCAATTCCTATCAACTAGAAGAGCCACTCGATGACTCTTTGCCCTGTGCACCGCCCCAAACACACACAACTGATCATACATAATTATAACCCCTTAAATAGCAGCGTATCTTTGAGTGTGCCGCGTTGTCTGTCTCTACTGTTGCTGAAGGGTAGCCAGCTTTCTGCGTCTGGAGAGAGGGAGGGGGCTCGCAAGACCGAGTTACGGTACAGAACCATGTGCAAACGATTCGACTTCTCCGAAACTCTTGTTTCGCTGGATGTTAGAACAGAAAGGCTTTTAAATGTTGGAGAAAAGATGAAATGCCATCGAAAGAAGAAATAGTTGCTAAGACTTTAGAAACAGCAGAGATGAATAAACTGACTTTATCTTTGAGAGGACAGCAAGAAGAAAGATTTCAGTCCACATGGTCAAGATTTTACAAATGCCTTGAGGATTATATAAAAAAAGTAGTCAGACCCAAACATATGGAGATGAGGCAGACTTTATTTAAAACTAGTTGCAGAACATTTAGGAAAAGTAAATGATATTAAAAATAATCGAAATTTAGATGGATAGTAAGAGGTAACATAACAGCTAGCAGTTAAAAGGTCATAGATTCCCCAGTTTGTATGTTTTTTGTTTGTTTGTCTTTGTTGTTTAAAAATAAAAAATGATTACAAAAAGAAAGAAAGAAAAGAAAGGCTTCTCTCCATTAAAAATGCCCTCCCTCTAGCTCTGCAGGGGAAGAAGGGGTGGTTAGAACCTCTCTCGGTGCTGGGTTTTCTACTTGCAAGGAGTTTTCTTCTACGGGCTGGCATTTCACAGTGGTGTGCCCCACTCTGCCACCTCATTCAGCGGCATATGTTGGCCCAGGCTCATATACAGAACCCCTTCCTCTCTGCAGCCCTTAAAAAATTTTTTTATTAGGTTTTCACACATTATAGGGCAAGAAAAAGTCAAGGGATGGGATAGAGCATTATAGGGCAAAAAGAGTACAGGGGATGGGGTAGGACATAAAGGGGGATTCCATCAAGTTGATATAATAGCCGTTACAAATCTTCCGTCTTAATTCTTTGTTTCCAAATCTCTTCCTTCCGTACAGTCGCTAAGACCAGTGTCACTTAATCAAATCGCTAAAGTCTTCTATTGTGATTCCCGAGAAGAGTCAGGTTCTATACAGCTCAAGTTCGGGTCTCTCCAAGTTTATAATATTTATATTCATTGTTCTCGGTCTTCAGAGTTCCTTTCCACCCCATCATAAAACGGTATCCAGTCGTCTCTCACATTCTGTTTACTTCCGTCTTTCAACAAGTCCGGCAGCATATCCATTTCTGCCGTCTCAGACATTTTTGCCAAAAGTTCACTTTCCGTCGGTTACCGCAGCCTTGATGTAATCAATGTAAACAAGCTGTGTGGTGCCTTAAAAATAAAAGGTGGTTGCATCTTGGGCCCATAGCAGCGATGAAATTACCCCAATCTCTAAAGCAGTTTCCTGGAAGATGGGTCTGGCAGCATGGGGTTCAGTGCTCGGGACGGCCACAGGTGGCAGGTCAGAGAGACACCTGTGGTTCCCCAGCCAAAGTCAGTATCACTGCCCGAAGTGGAAGTGTGCGTAGGATCGATTGCAGGTTCTCGATGTCGAGTTGGGAGCCCAACTACCGCTTTTCCTCTTGAGCGCCTCGGCAAACAGAGGCTTGCCCGTATCAGCCCAAAGCCTGCTGCCGTGCTTCCTTTCCCTCCGTCTTCCGTTCACGTGCAGAGAGCAACGGACAGCTTCCGAGTTTGGGCATCCTCGTATCAAGCTTCGAGGTTGCTATAATGCCCAGGAGAAGGTGCCTGGCCCCGCTTTTGGAGCTTATTTTCCTCTGTCCCCCGCCCAGGTTTCTAAACCTCAGTTAAAATCCCGATTTAGAATCTGGCCATGGAAAGAAAACCACGTGCCAGTTGACCCGGGCGCCTGTCTTCAGCCATCACGGCAAATTTGAGTTTGGCTCAGAGCTTCCCGAGCCTTCGGCACGTGCAAAAAGAAGAGTGAGCTGAGTGTGTGAGCGCAGGAATGATTGCAGAAACAGTTCCGTCACCCAGCCATCGCAGATTAACCCCTGCTTGTCTGTGGCATCTGACAATAGCCCCGCTCTTTCGAGAAGGCCTAATGTCAGTTTGCGGAATGGTCTCCAAGCGGCACGGGGTGTGTGTGTATTGCTCCTGCTAAAAACATATAAGGGCCCAATGAAAGCCTCATAAACAAGTAAAGGTCATGTGTCTTGGCCCTTGGGTTTAGGCCACCTTTGCTTGTTTACGAGGCTTTCATTGGGCCCTTATATGTTTTTAGCTGTCCTTCTAATAAATACATGTATTTTTGTATATTATAAGTTTCAACCAGGTTTTTAATATTGGCCCTTTATTAGACTTCTTTCTTACCCTCGCGGTTCTGGATTCCAGTTTTTGGGTCAGGTTTGTTTTCCCCTCCCTGTGTCTCAGAGTTCTGATAGAACCGCGACCGGCCCAAGGTCACCCAGCTGGCTTCACGTGGAGGAGTGCGGAATCAAACCCGGTTCTCCGGATGAGAGTCCGCCGCCCTTAAACCGTTACGCCAAGCTGGCTCACCAAATTGATCGCTAGGGAAAGCCGTAACCTCTTCCGGACCGTCTCTGACTGCAGCCTCTCATTTTTCCTCCTCAGATTGTTAATCCACCTAAAGACCTGAAGAAGCCTCGTGGGAAGAAGTGCTTCTTTGTCAAGTTTTTCGGGACTGAAGATCAGTATGTACCCTCGTCTTTTTTCCCCCCCTCCTCTGCCTAGGGAAAATGTCTATTTTTAAACTTCCAGGGCCTTTGTGGGAAAGATCTGTGCCGGCTGGCGTCGCCGTGATGCGCTGCAAAAAATTGTCTTAAACATCAGCCAGTGCTGTAACCCCCCCCCTTTTTTTTAAATAGCTCATTTGAGCAGGGCTGAGGAAGCCTGGGTCCTCTAAAAAAAAAATGTCCAGCTGCCTCCTAAGGTACTGTGTCAAGGGTAGATTTTTGTTTCTAACCTGGGGAGAGTTTTAGAAAACACAGCTGATGTCAGAAGCTTCAAAATAGGTAACCGGCAGACTGAAAATGCTCACTCAACATTGGTAATCATGAAAAAGATAACGTCACGATGCCCAGTCTGTAATGTTCCTGTGTTTGGACTAGTGTTGTTGTTGCCGTGCTTGCCCACGTGCCCTGCTTGTGGGCATCCCGGCGTCACCTGGATGGCCCCTGCATGAAACAGTTTGCTGGCATAGGCGTACCCTCAATTTGATCCAGCAGAGCTGTGGCATTTAAGGGGGAGGAACTGGACCCTGGCCTTCAAGTGGCTGGTTTCTCAGAGGCACGTCTCTAGGTGGCTTGTGCAAGCGAGTTAATCTGAATGTCGAAGGAGAAAGTTGAAACGTTTTCGGTATGGGGGTGTTCTTGATTGGCACACGGTGTTTGGCGTGTGCTCTGTTGGCTCCTGTGTCGCTGGCACACATACGTAAGAAAGCCACGGCCAGGATCCGAATGGCTGTAGAACTGATCAACTTTTAATGTTGTCGTGGATGGGTCACAGTTTTGCTGCTTCAGACATTTTAAAAGTGGGCCTTAGAGTACCATCTGTATCTTCTTGAGCCTGTTGGGTATATCTGAGGTTTTCCAGAAAGTGCAGTAAAACGGTTTCCACAGGAGGCACAGTAAGCCACCATACAGCTTCCGTCTGCGGCAGTCATAGTATTTGGAGGTTCAGAGCAAGCATCGTTGTAACGATTCCTTGTTTCTGTGTGTGTGTGTGTCTCTTTAAAAGTTTGGTTGCATGGCTGTGATAGACTAGAGTGGTTGAGAGAGGCAAGTGTGGTATGATTGGTGGTTGGCAGAGAGGGGGAGGGGTTTTGGAAGTGAATCTGATTGGATGAGTATGTGAGTCAGTCAAGAGTTTCAGTTTCAAGTTGACAGTTGATGTAAATAAGGAGTTCTGTGTTGAAGCAGTTAGAAGCGGACAGCTGAGGTTGTTCAGTGAGAAAGAGAAAGAGAGCTGAAAGCTGAATGTATAAGAAAAAGTAAAGTTTAAGTGGAAAAAAGTTAAAGGAAAGTCTGAGTGTCATAACAGACTGGAGTGAAACAGTGAACATATATGGCATTAAGATAAACAAGTGTTACAAAGTTACATGAAAAGATCCCTATCAGTGAGGGAAAAGATTGAGTGTGATGCCAAAGCAATTGTACATCATTTACACATTACTAGTTACATTGTATCACCCTATTTAGTATTTATTCCAATAAATCTTCTTTTATTCAAGTTTATACTAGCTCTCAATGAAATACTTCCCAGGACCACATAGTTCCTCGTAAGCCTTGAACTCGGTCTACCAAACTAGTAAGAGCAAAAGTATAAGCGTAAAGGTTTGGAAATCCTTAAAATTTCCTGGTGGCGGCAGAATCTACCCTGTTAAACAAAATAAAGAGAACTTTTAAAGTGAAACTAGTCCTCCCCAATAAGGAGGACGTCACAATTGTGCTTTGATGGAGGCAGCTATTTCTGAGCGGTCATTCCCTGCGGACCTAAAAGCGACACCTCCAGGGCCTTCTACAGCACTCCTCGTTCCAGTGAGGTTGAGGAAAGCCAGGATTAGCTCTTCGCATGGGGGAAGAAACGCTTTAGGGGAGAAGCAGGTGGGCACCAAAGAACACACAGGCGGGCAATACGGTGCCAGAAGTTCCCCATGTTTCATATCGCTGCACAAGAGCCACATATTGCAAATATGAAGGATGGTTTATTTTTCAGCCGCACGCGCAGCGTGACCTGCTTCAGTTGAGGAATATATGTTAGCCTTCCAAGGCAGTGGCCAACTGCGAGATGTAGTCAGAAAGCTGGAGGGGAGGTTGCATCCCGTCCTTCTCACAAAAGTGGGTCAGATATCTGGAATGCTTTTTGGGCCCAGCTCAGATTAGCGAAGGGGTTGCAGGCAGAACGATCCTACAATCACAGAGAGCTGGAAGGGGCCAGACAGACCATCTAGCCCAACCCCCTGCCCAATGCAGGACCAGCCTCCAGCATCCCTGACAAATATTCGCCCAGCCTCCTCTTGAAAGCTGCCAGTGAAGGGGAGCTCACCACCACTCTAGGCAGCTGATTCCACCTTTGAACCACTCTGACCGTGAAAAAGTTCTTCCTAATATCCGGCCGATACCTTTCTCCATGTAATTTAAACCCGTTGCTTCGGGTCCTCTCCTCTGCTGCCAACTGGAACAGCTCCTTGCCCTCCTCCAAATGACAGCCTTCCAGATACTTAAAGAGAGCAATCATGTCCCCCCTCAATCTCCTCTTCTCCAGACTAAACATTCACAGGGCCCTTAGCCTTTCCTCGTAGGGCTCAGTCTCCACGAGATCGACACAACTGAATGCGTAGTTTAGACTTTGAAAACCCATCCGCCGGTAGAGGAGGTCAGCCAAAGAGCACAGCCCCATAGGAGATTCATTGACAATGGCCTGTTGGATGATCCCGTTTCCTCTGAGCCACAAAATGGCTCAGGAATAGTTTGGGGCTTTGTATATCAGCAGTGAAAGCATTAGCAGGGCTGCCATGATTCCTGTGGAGCAAAGAGCATTGTGTTAGGTTCATAATTTCGCTTCCTGAGAACAGTACATTTTTTAATATATAAAAGGCAGTTAAAAGCTGAGGGTCTGTATTTAAAAGAATCTGCAAGTGATGTTGTTGAAACCTTGGAAGCCAAGGAGGGGCAGAAATAAATCTGGAAGTTTAACACTGAGCGCCTCACAGGAGGAAGCTTGAACATTTGTGACATAAGTCTGAATAATACAAATACTTAAAAACAAGGTATCTTCTGTGTACATAATAGCAATAAGTGCAGTATTGTTGAAGTAACGTTAATTTTGCAAATAACTAATGCTGATTCGGTTTCCCCCAAAAATCCCACTTGTATCGCATATGTAATTCTCGCACAGTCCTTGAGTGGCGTACATTCAGGTGTGGTAGAGTGAGGAATGACCTTGTCTTGTTTTGGATATTATACTGGAATGTTTTGTCCGCCTGCCCAGTGCAGTTGCTGCCCTTAAAACCGGGGAAGAGAGAATAAATTCTGAGCAGTTGATTTCTGGACCCGGTGGTGATGTTTCCTTATAGATCACTGAAAGAATGTACACTCTAAAGGGCTGTGTAAACACACAGGAGTGTTTGGCCAAGTATATCAAGCCTTCTGGCTTAATGTGCCTACTTGGCATTTTTGGTTCCTCTGTCGGCTTTTAAGGCCTCTTTGCTTAACAGGAAGATCTGGCCGGGAACTGGTGCACACATTCAAAGCACGGCTTTTTCTCAAGTCCGGAACTCTGCTCTCTGCACCTGTTTTTCAAGAGGCCCAAAGACGCATAGAATGCAGCAGCGGTGTAATATGTGCCTCGAACGGTGGGAGGCATGTCTTGGAAACGGACCTGCAAGTTCCGCATGAGATGCATGCTTCTCAATTGTAGGTCTTTATAGCCAGGGTCTCCGGGGACCAAGCCCAGTGGCGTAACTGAATTCCCCATTCAGCCCAAAGCACCATCCCTGCCCCAGTTTGTGAGAGGGACAGGAGTAAGCGGGGGATTTTCAGCAGCTGCGCCTTCCCATTTGCTACAGCACCGATGCCTAGTCCGTGTTTTCAGCCCCCGTGCAAAGAGCAAAGCCTGCATTTTAGGAAGAACGGGGGGGGGGAGCATGCCCCCCCCAATACATTGACTATTAAACCCCAATGAATTTAATGGAGCCTACTGCTCTGTGTGTCTGTAGAGAAAACGAGCTTCAGGATCCATTTTATCAGTGTGTCAGTTGCTCGTGCTTTGAACTAAAGGGATTACAGCTCTGCAGATTATCGCTTCCCAGCTGGTCGGTTGCAGCTGTAACCATCGAGCAACCACGCAGGCTGTGTTGTTTTTTTCCCTCCTTCCCTTATTTCTCATTGCCCACATCTCAATACTAACCATGGTTAATGCTAATCCAGCATTCTCTTAGCCAGGGCTTGGAAAGGCACTTAGAAAGCACCACCCACTTCTCCGAAAGGCTTTAAGTGGCTTCATCAAAGCAGTTGAAGTACACACAACAAAACCCCTAGTAAAAATGAAGCGCTGCACACCAGTGTTCCCTCTAAGCTGAGTTAGTGTGAGCTAGCTCACAGTTTTTTAGCCTCCAGCTCACACATTTCTGTCTCGGCTCAGGAAGGAGGGCTCCAGAGCTAACTAATTTATGCAGGAGCCAAATCACTTGCTCACAACTTTAATGCCAGTAGCTCACAAAGTAGAATTTTTGCTCACAAGACTCCACGGCTTAGAGGGAACATTGCTGCACACTCAGTCCCCAACTCGACACAGAGAATCAAAAACTGCATGGGATTAATGCCATTCAGGTCAAACGCCCTCTGGAGAAAGTACAGATTGTTTGCGCTCTGAGAAATGACAAGGGGGGGGGGAAGGCATCCCGGAGGGCTGTTCCACAATGCTGGGGCCATAACTGAGAGGGAACAAGCGCCCCCTGAAGCCAGCCGAGCTCAGTGGATCGAGAACAATGCGACTGGAAGAGATTAGCAGGCCTCTCTAAAGGGGCGAGCGTAGGGAGAGGCAGCCTTTTAGGTTCCGGCTCGTGGTTAAGGTGGGAATCCCATCTGGTGACGATGCAGACGGAACCTCAGGCCCTCAAAGGAAAGGAGGGGGAACTTCTCGTTCCGGGGGAGGGGTGTGCCAGAAGCAGTGGCACCGAGTGTTCCTCAGG